TCCCAAGTAGCTGGGACTACAGGCGCCCGCCACAACGCCCGGCCATTTTTTGGTTGCAGCCATCATTGTTGTTTGGTGGGCCCGGGCTGGGGATTCGAACCTGCCACCTTAGGTGTATGTGGCTGGCGCCTTAGCTGCTTGAGCCACAGGTGCCGAGCCGATAGCAGAAATTATTAAGCACAGTCCAAAATTAATAAGTATTGCTTATTTTGTTTGTCTTGCAATCCAAAAATTAATAAGTATTAAGATGGGATTCAGAAATCCCAAGGATGTAAGTCATTCACTTTCAGAGAGATCTTTGTTTATTGTTCAGTCTTTCCAAAATCATGTTAGGAATGCTTGCCACAATCTCATCGCGAACAAATCAAAGTCTAGCAGATTCTGAAGTGCACTAGAAATATCTGTGGGAGTGGAGTCTCACTCCATCACCAAAAATCCAGATTTAGTGAGTCTGGGGTACGATCTTGGAATCTGCATTTATTTTTTAATTTTTAATTTTTATTCATTTATTTATTTGCAGTTTTTGGCTAGGGCCAGGTTTGAACCCACCACTTCTGGTATATGGAGTCGGTGCCCTACTCCTTTGAGCCACAGGCACCGCCCCTGCATTTTTTTTTTTAAACTTTTTTTAGAGATAGAGTTTTGCTGTGTTACCCAGGCTGAAGTGCAAGGGCTATTCATGGGAACAATCAAAGATCATAGGACACTGTAGTCTCCTGAGTACCAGGGACTATAGGTGTATGTCACTGCACGGAGCCTGGACTCTACATTTTTAACACGCCATCAAGATTTTTTAGTTGCAAATGAGCCATGGAACACAGGTTTATGTTATTCTAAATTAACTTTTTTTTTTTTTTGAGATAGAGTCTTACTATGTCACCCTTGGTAGAGTACCATCGTGTCACAGCTCACAGCAATCTCAAATTCCTGGGCCTAAAGGATTCTCTTGCCTCAGCCTCCCAAGTAGCTAGACTACAGGCCCATGCTGCCACACCCACCTAATAATCTTAAATTTTTTTGTAGAGATAGAGTCTTGCATTGTTTCCCAGGCTTGTCTCAAATCCTGGACTTAAAGGATCCTCCCTCCTTGGTCTCCCAAAGTGTTGGGATAACAGGTATGAGTTACCACACCTGGCTCTGTCTACTTCTCTTAAAAAATGGGTATCCAACTTATTTTCTAATACCTCCAAGGCAAAGTTTCTGGCCTAAAATTTAAAATCTTTTTAGATTTTTATTTCTTGAACTTTTAGTGATTTTAGGCAAGCTCACGTGTGAGTTACTGGAAACATTCTGGCCAAATCAACTCCGGTTGAGTTTGTATCCCAGATACTAATATCCATGGTTTAGCATGCAGAGTACTTGAGAATGTATCTCTCGATCTTGATCTGCATCTCAGTAAATGTTTAAAGAGCATGGAGTCAGTAAACCTGACCTTGGACCACTGTTCTAAAGAAGTTAATATGCAGCTGGGCGCAGTGGCTCACACCTGTAATCCTAACATTCTGGGAGACTGAGGTGGGAAGATTGCTTGAGTTCAGAAGTTTGAGACCAGCCTGAGCAAGAGAGAGACACTGTCTTTACTAAAAGTAAAAAAACTAGCTGGGCATTGTGGTGGGTGCCTGTAGTCCCAGCCACTCAGGAGGCTGAGGCTCAATCACTTGAGCCCAAGAGTTTGCTGTGAACTATGATGACATCACTAGACTCTACCCAGGGTGACAGAGTGAAACTCTGTCTCAAAAAATAAACAAACAGGCCTGGCTCCTATAGCACAGTGGTTATGGTGCCAGCCACATACACCAAGGCAGGTGGATTCAAACCTGACCAGGGCCAGCTAAACAACAATGACAAATGCAACAAACAGTTGCAGGGCCTTATGGTGGGTGCCTGTAGTCCCAGCTACTTGGAGCCTCAGGCAAGAGAATCACTTAAGCCCAAGAGTTGGAGGTTGCTATGAGCTATGAAGTCACGGCACTCTACAGAGGGTGACATATTTGACTCTGTCTCAAATAACTAAATAAATAAAAGTAAAATAAAAAATAAACAAACAAAACAACAACAACCATAAAAAGTTAATATGCATCTGTGTTGTGTTTGGGGTGGGGAGAAACTGTAGCTTGAGCATTGCCTAAGAACCCAAAACTCAAAATAAAAATGAAGTTTGAGTTAGATGTTTTACTTACTGATTGGAAGCCATGCATTAAGGTTGAATTTCACTTCTCTCATGTGAGTTTGTAGGTTAGTCTATTGAGGAGTTGAAGGAAACTTCACCAACCCTGGGTCTGAGGTAAACTGAAGCCTTCATTTTTAAAAATGAGCTGACTCGGCCACAGTGAGAGGTTTGACGTGAACCCACCTTTGCTTCTTGACTCTCAGAGACCTAGAACTTCCTCTTCTCTTCCTAGACTCACAATTGTTCATCAGTGGGTTATTTCTGTCTATAGTTCATCTCTTCACAAGTGCCTCTTTGAATGTGATCGAGGAGTTTCCTCTCTTTTAGAAGATTTCCCCCAGTCAGAAATGTGGGAAATGAAATTAGTTCCTCCAAAAGCAGGGAGAAGCTAGGAAGCTAGAGCTGAGTGAGATGCTGCGACAGCATGGGCAGCTTTGGTTAGCTTCTGCATGGCGTGTCTTGCTAAGATGCTGAGGAAAATA